GGATTGGTTGAGGTGAAGGAGGAGGAGGAGGAGAACAATGCAAAAATAAGGATTTAAAACATCGGGTGTGTTAATTATTCTGTTTTGGATAAGCTTCGATAAAATTCTTAGGGATTATATATCTCTAAATCGACAATTACATTCGGTCTATGGAATTATTATTGCTCATTAAATATTGTTCGCGCGCGCGCGCGTGTGTGTGTGTGTGTGTGTGTGCGCGCGCGCGCGCGCTTGTGTGTGTGTATCCTCGGATAATCCACACATTTACTATACCGTATTGTTAATATTAAGCGTGGATCATACGACGCAAAATAGTCGACTCATGCACTAGCACCAGATCTACACGACAATAGATCATCAACCATTTTTTCCCTAGCACTAAAAAATTCCAATTCCATGCCCCCAATCGCTACTGCCTCAATTATATTTGTATAATCGATTCGCAATAAAGAAAGAATCGTCGTCTACCGTCAGCGCACTCCTAACACTATACTTTATTTGTTCATCTACAATATTTCTCTACAATAGTATAGTAGCCCATAAATCGCAGTGATTCGAGAAAGTTTCCCTGTTCATCCCTGGCCTTTTTTTTTTTAGCCCTCTTCTCTTTACTCTTTACTGACGTTTCGACGTTATTCTCTCTTAAAAACTTTATTTGCTTTACCAATCCAATCGTTTACGAACGAGAGAAAAAGATCATTGAAACGTTCCCTTTTAATCCTTTTTTTCTCTCTCTTTTTTTTTTTTTTTTTTTTTTTTTTTTTATGTATTATCGTACTTGCATCCACTCGCACCCATTCCACTCACTCACCGGCCTTCACCACGCACACCTGCACGCATACGAACACTCGCTCTCCCCCACACTCTCTCACTCTCTCACTCTCTCACTCTCTCACTCTCTCACTCTTCTATCTATCTATCTATCTACTCTCACTCTCTCACTCTCTCACTCTCTATCTATCTATCTATCTATCTATCTCTTACTCGTACTCCTCCTCGTACTCCGTTGCCCCTACCATTGTACAGGCACTTGCACGCATACTTACTCATCTATCTGCATTTGCAACTTCACATTCAACCTAAAATATATTCCTATCCAGTCATGTAACCATTCGCACGTGCACGCACTCGCAATCATCTGCAGCTGAGTGACAAAATATTGTCAATCGTATCAATAACAATCACATCCTACATTCGCACAGCTTTTTCGCACAATCATTAAAACAACTATAATTATAATCAATATAATATTCACAGCATTTTATCAAAATCTCTTAAAAGCGCCAACTCTAATCATTCTCTCTTCCTCTCTTTCTCATTCGCACATAAAAAAATTTTCTTTTTTCTCTTGTTCGTTCTGTCGTTCCTACGTGTTTTTGTCATTGCTCTATCATTGTCGTCAATTTCCTTTATTTATTAATCGTCACGCGATTTCGCATCCATATCAGCGGTGGCGTAAAATCTCCCAGTCTCGGTTATGTCGACATTAACTTTAACTCAATCATTCTTTCTCTATCTCTCTATCTATCTATCTTTCATCCTCGCTCTCTATGTTTTCTTTTTCACTCAGCATCTCTGTCGGCTTTGTCCTCTTTTATTCCTTACTAAGAGTTTTACCGATAATCATGCGTATTTATATACGTAAGCGCGTGCGCGCGTGCGCGCGTGCGTCAATCTATCTATCTATCTATATATATATATATATATATATATATATATACATATATATATATACATACATACATATAAACACATACGCATATATCTATGCATATGCGTAGAATATATATATATATATATATATATATATATATATATATATACATATATATATATACATACATACATATAAACACATACGCATATATCTATGCATATGCGTAGAATATATATATATATATATATATATATATATATATATATATACACGCGCGCACGCGCCCATTCACACGTACATACATATATATATATGCATGTATGGATATATACACATGTATGGTTGGCGCACTAAACTGACCTTTAATCTTTATACAACTCGTGTGTGGAGACGTTATTTTTTCATTCTTTTATAAACTTGCACTCTATATGCTTATTCCTTATTATTTTTTTTTTTGTTTTCGTTTTGTTTTTTTGTTTTTGTTAACTCTCTTAAAGCACTGATTAAGCGAGGGAGCATCCGCGCATAATAATTTTTTTCATTTTTAACGTGTCCATCCATCCCCCTCCCCCGTCGGACACGGTGTGTAAACGAATGCGGCTGCGTGTCGCCGCGCGTGTTCGTACGTGTGCTGTTCGTGTTTGTTGGTGTGCGTTATGCTGGGTCGGTGCACAGAGTAGGGAAGTGGTTGGAGGTACTCGTCGGAACGGTTGCGCTCAATCTTCTCAAGAGAGATTAGAAAGCGTGGGATTCGCGCTCAGAACTGACACGTCACCCAAGAACCTCCCGCTTCTCTGGCCGCCAGGGTGACTGTTCGCAGGGTGTAGTCGTGCGCGCGCGCGC